TGTTACAGGTGTATCATATTTGTCGGTCTGTTACAGGTGTATCATACCTGTCTGTCTGTTACAGGTGTATCATATTTGTCGGTCTGTTACAGGTGTATCATACCTGTCTGTCTGTTACAGGTGTATCATACCTGTCGGTCTGTTACAGGTGACTTATACCTGTCGGTCTGTTACAGGTGACTTATACCTGTCTGTCTGTTACAGGTGACTTATACCTGTCTGTCTGTTACAGGTGTATCATATTTGTTGGTCTGTTACAGATGACTCGTACCGGTCTGTCTGTTACAGGTGTATCATACCTGTCTGTCTGTTACAGGTGTATCATATTTGTTGGTCTGTTACAGATGACTCGTACCGGTCTGTCTGTTACAGGTGTATCATACCTGTCGGTCTGTTACAGATGACTCATACCTGTCTGTCTGTTACAGATGACTCATACCTGTCTGTCTGTTACAGATGACTCATACGTGTCTGTCTGATCTCAGTCTGTATTACATTAAAGAAAATAAAGAAAGCTAATATTAATCTGTAGAGATCAGAGTTAACCCCATAATGCTCAGACATAAGGTGTTCAGAGATATGTCACTGTACCTGTGTGTCACCTGTGGTCTCCTGACTGTGCCGTGTGTTTTCTCTCATGTTGTCCTTCAGGGAGACAGATGTGTGTGTGAACTGACCTCTGACCTCTAGTTTGCAGATGATTTCTGGGAGTTGGAGGAACTTGTCTGTTGGCAGGAGGAGTGTTTGTTCGCTGTGTAATCAGGAAGTTGCCCCCCCCCCCCCCCCGCTGTGAAGAGAAAGTGTAAATCTTGTTGAACTGGTTTTGTGTGTGTGTGTGTGTGTGTGTGTGTTTAGAAACCTGATCTGCTGATGTAACAGAGTGTGTATTTGCTGTCACTCTGCGTGTTATTTTGGGATGCTTGACGGTCTGTGACAGCGTGCTTGTCCCGCCCAGCAGGAGTCTGACATGGGCAGAAACACTCCTGAACAAACGCACGTCGTTGTACTAAAGGACTTGAAGCGTTGTGGGCGGGGCCAAGCTGCGTTGCTTTGTGCTTCTCAACAGGAAAGGTAGAGCAAACTGTAAGAGTAAAACAACCTACTTCCTGTTTCCTGTAGAGGTTAATTTTATAGAGTCACAGCTGCTGTCGAGCAGATCGTAGCTCCCTCCTGTCTCATGACATCACACTCTGACATCATCCTAACCTTAAGGTCACTATGCTAATGAGGTTCAGAAGTGTAGGTTGTGTGTAATGTTTGTGTATGCGTTCAGTGTCAGTGTGATTAACGCCCTGTCGGATGTCTGACTGACTTTCTGTTTCCTCGCCATCATCACAGAGACACAACATGTTCCCGAAGGGCACCAAGCGCAAGTTCTCCGACTCCGGGGAGGAGCCAGTCTCCAGTGGCGACCAGATCCCGGCGGCTTCAGCTGCGGCGGCGGCGGCTCGGACGCTGACGTCCTCTTACAGCCTTCAGCGGCAGTCGCTGCTTGACATGTCGCTCATCAAGCTGCAGCTGTGCCACATGCTGGTGGAGCCCAACCTGTGCCGCTCGGTGCTCATCGCCAACACGGTGCGGCAGATCCAGGAGGAGATGACCCAGGACGGCACCTGGCAGATCATGACCCAGGCTCTGGCGGCCGCCCAGTGTCCTGCAGACCGCCTGGTGGCCACAGAGGTGCTGTGTCGGCAGACAGATGCGGCGGCGCAGGCCGGGCAGAGCCCAAAGCCTTTCTCGGTGGTTGGCCTGGAGGAAGGCTACCACGCTGAGGAGGTGGTGATGGAGGGAGATGTGGAGACGGAGGTCACCATGTCCACTCTTTCGCCCGTCTCCCCCCAGCTGTCCTCGTCCTCTTATCTGGCAGGACCATTTGGCATGGGGCCCTGCTGGGAGGAGGAAGAGGAGGACGGTGAGTGCGAGGAGGACGAGGAGGAGGACAGCGAGGAGTGTGTGTCCGAGGGAGAGGACGGAGAGCAGGACCACCTGAGTGCAGACTCCAGGACAGGGGAGCAGGTTTTTGGGACCTTTGAGATCAAGCACCCAGCTCCGCCCCCTGACCCAGCGCTGGACGAACTGTTTTCAGACGTGGACCCGTCCTACTATGACCTGGATACGGTGCTGACAGGTATGCAGAGTGCCCCCAAGATGGGGCCATACGACCTGCTGGAGAGCCTTTCGTCTCACGGGCCCACGGCGCTCAGCTCCAGCTCCAGCTGCAGGTCGGACCTGAACGAACTGGACCACATCATGGAGATCATAGTTGGCTCCTGAGAGCCGGGACGGTCCTGCGGCCCGCGCTGACCCCTCAGACTCTTCAGACTATGCACAGTACATGTGTGCATGTTCTGTATGTGCTGTTGTTACACACTGAGACGGGTGGAGGTTTGACACAGGGTGGGAAACTGACGGCGAGACACGTTTTAGGACCGGCTGTTAGAGGCGGAGTTAACCTGCTCCAACTGTAGCCCCTTTTCCACTGCACAGAGAGCACACCAACATCTGACCAACACCTGAAACAACACCTGACCAACACCTGCTAACATCTGCTAACATCTGGCCTTTTAATGTAACGAAAAAAGTTATAATCAGTGTTCACTCCTGGGTCACATGACTCTGCAGTGGTCATCAGTATTTATTAACTCCAGTCATTAATGTAAAACACAACGTCTGGGTGAACGCACTAATTTTAGGCCCTTAACCGGCGAGATGCAATGACACGCCACCACAAAATATGGTCTGTCTCCGCCCAGCAGCGCTCAGACATCGATGCGTACGAATCTGCACTGAGTGTGAGAGACAGACTGAATCCACAGTAAAATTTGTTTTCCTGTAGTCTCAGCGTGTTTACTGTTTACCTGTTCTTTGACCTGTCTATGACGTTGACATGACACGCCAAAAAAAGGCGCACTGATCTGCTGTAGAGTCGATAGTGGGACACAAGTATATCTCCTGTTTTAAAGAGGACTTCCTGTGTTTAAAAAATGGATGTAGACGCAGTAATCCAGGTGTAACAGGTGTGTCAGCAGGTGTTGGACCTCCATCTTTGACTTTCTAACAGTCACAGTGTCGACGGTGACGTGAACGAGTCTGTTAGTTTCCCACCCTGTTGTTTGAACCCAAACTCTGTCACTGTGTGAGAGGGCGAAGATAATTAGTATCCCATGATGCATTCTTCTTTACGTTGTCTCCATGTTTACGTCTGTCCATCTCTATTTATTGTCACATGGACTGAGGAACACCTGGTCATGGTCACACTACATCACACGCAGAACAAAGTGTAAATGAAATCTATGAGTGAAGATATTTTCCTACAGATGTGAGCAGTTATGATGGAGTCTATGGAAATGTACCTACCTGTAAATACAAATATATTTTTTGCATTATACAGCAGCGGGGGGATTTTTGCAAGTATCGTTTGATATTCTTCTTGTTTTTATGTTTCCTCCCTGCTCAGTGGTTTTTTAAGATTTTAATGTAGCCAGACAGGAGCGAGACGGCGTCTTCCTGTGGTTTGGTATCTGACGGGTGCGGCGACATCGTCACACGTTCACATTCTCTAAAGCTTTACACGCAGGACGGACACCTGTGAGGAAGTGTCCTCTGTCCTCTGTCCTCTGTCCTGCTTTACATTCACACCTGATGACCTGAAGCATTTGGAGAAACCCCCGGGGTGATAATATTAATATTAATAATAATAATTACTGCATCAACAAGCCATATTTCTTTCTGTGCAGATGAAGACTTCTGTCCTAATTTATTGTTTTTATTTATTGTATTTATTCTCTCCAGGTACACACCATGCCATAGTATTGATTATTGATCAGCAGGCCCCATCAAATTGTCCAAATGAATCTGCAGTGTTTCCTCCTCAGCTCTTTATTATTAGTAATAATTAATAACCGGGTTGTTCCAGTCTCTATGCAGCTCTGTCAGACGTGTTTGATTGATTGTAGACGACTCTAATGTCCTTTAAGTCCTTTTATGCAAACAGTTGCCTTTCTCCTGAAGATGTGGAAGATGAGACCTGGTTGGTTACCATGGTGATGAAGAGATGAAACTCAGGCTAACACACACACACACACACACACACACACACACACACACAGTATTACCACACGCTGAATCCCGTAACACCACAACAACACTCCTGAAGGATGTCACTCTGGTCTGAATGGGAGCTAGAACTTCAAAGACTAATTACCTTGTAAAATGTATGCATTTTTTATATCCAGGAAAAATTACAAAACCATTGTAGCATCTTTGTAAATATTTTTTATAATAAAAGGTGCAACTATCCTCCGTGTGATGTCCTTTCACTGTCCCCCCCCCCCCCCCCCCCCCCCCCCCCCCCCCCCCCCCCCCCCCCCCCCACCGAAAAGAGACAGAAAACCAGTTCAACAACATGTTGTAACATCATGTGACTCTGATGACTGAAGAGGGACCTCTGATCTAAAGGGACAGGTGGGACAGTCTGGACAGGTGGGACAGTTTGGAGTGAGGCGGTCTGAGGTGTGTGTTCAGTGTGTTACCTTCAGCAGATGTCCATCCTCAGTTTGGAGAATCAGGCTGGAGTCTGACAGGTAAACTCAGTGACGTCATCGTCATGCTGTGGGTGGAGTCAGCAACTCTGCATGTTGGGAAGTGTCTGCATGTTGGGAAGTGTCTCTGCATGTTGGGAAGGGTCTGCATGTTGGGAAGTGTCTCTGCATGTTGGGAAGTGTCTGCAGATCGGTGAGTGTCTGCATGTTGGGAAGCATCTCTGCAGATTGGTGAGTGCATGTTGGGAAGCGTCTCTGCATGTTGGGAAGCATCTCTGCAGATCGGCGAGTGTCTGCATGTTGGGAAGCGTCTCTGCATGTTGGGAAGGGTCTCTGCATGTTGGGAAGTGTCTCTGCATGTTGAGAAGGGTCTGCATGTTGAGAAGGGTCTGCATGTTGGGAAGCGTCTCTGCATGTTGGGAAGTGTCTCTGCATGTTGGGAAGTGTCTCTGCATGTTGGGAAGGGTCTGCATGTTGGGAAGTGTCTCTGCATGTTGGGAAGTGTCTCTGCATGTTGAGAAGGGTTTGCATGTTGGGAAGGGTCTGCATGTTGGGAAGCGTCTCTGCATGTTGGGAAGTGTCTCTGCATGTTGGGAAGTGTCTCTGCATGTTGGGAAGGGTCTGCATGTTGGGAAGTGTCTCTGCATGTTGGGAAGTGTCTCTGCATGTTGAGAAGGGTTTGCATGTTGGGAAGGGTCTCTGCATGTTGGGAAGGGTCTGCATGTTGGGAAGTGTCTGCATGTTGGGAAGTGTCTGCATGTTGGGAAGGGTCTGCATGTTGGGAAGGGTCTCTGCATGTTGGGA